GAGAGAGAGAGAGAGAGAGAGAGAGAGAGAGAGAGAGAGAGAGAGAGAGAGAAAATGTTTATGGTGCTGTGTTTCAACATTTAATACATGCATTCATTACTTCTTATCTCATCTTGTCTTGTCTTTCTTTTCTTATCTTATATTATCTCATCTGATCTGATCTTATCTTATCTTTTCTTATCCATCTTGCCTCATCTTGTCTTGTCTTGCTTTATCTATCTTAATTTATCCCAACATATCTTATCTTGTCTTTTCTTGTCTTATCTTGTCTTGTCTTTCTCATCTCATCTCATCTCATCTCAATTCTTCTCATCTCATCCCATCTCATCCCAGAACCCAATAGAGCCGCAGGGCAAGAACGACATCCTAGGCATGACCTTCCAAGACCTTCAGAAACACACCCAGGATCAGTTCAACAACAGCGCTAAAGAGCTGGATCTGCTCAAGAAGAAATCACAGAAGGTAACGCCGCTTCTTTTTATAAGAAATAAATACAAAGTAATAAAATAAATCACACTTTTTATTTGTCCTGCAAGGGCACTTTGTTTTACAATGGCAAACATACATTTACATACATAAATACATAATTATGAATACGTACAAATACATGTAGAAATATACACTTGAATACACAATACTTAACAATTACAAAATAGTTTACAAACATGCTACTGTCGGTCGCCACTGTGAAGCTCCCTGTATTTTGAGCTAGGGTTGTCGTGTCTTGCTTAAGGACACACCCCAGTGAACACCCATCTGATCCCCGTGTCACCAACACTTGCTTGACTCTACTTGAGTGGAAACTCACTACTCACTTAGCCACTTCTCTACTGCCCGTCCGCCAAAGTATGGATAATAATCGGGAGGACTTCCATAACGAACTCTTTGCTTCAGATGGCGCTGCAGTCTATTTTGAAGCTCTCTTTCGTTTTTCCAGAAGGTGAATAGGAATAGCACCTCCTAGGGTAGTGTAATGTCTGTTCTACTGAACTCGTTATGTCCTTGTCTGTTCTACTGAACTCGTTATGTCCTCATCTGTTCTACTAAACTCGTTATGTCCTCATCTGTTCTACTGAACTCGTTATGTCCTCATCTGTTCTACTAAACTCGTTATGTCCTCATCTGTTCTACTGAACTCGTTATGTCCTCATCTGTTCTACTGAACTCGTTATGTCCTCATCTGTTCATTATGTCCTCATCTGTTCTACACATTATGTCCTCGTCTGTTCTATACATTTTGTCCTCGTCTGTTCTACACATTTTGTCCTCGTCTGTTCTAGTTCTACACATTATGTCCTTGTCTGTTCTATCTACACATTATGTCCTCGTCTGTTCTATCTGCACATTATGTCCTCGTCTGTTCTACACATTATGTCCTCGTCTGTTCTATCTACACATTATGTCCTTGTCTGTTCTACACATTATGTCCTCGTCTGTTCTACACATTTTGTCCTCGTCTGTTCTAGTTCTACACATTTTGTCCTCGTCTGTTCTATCTACACATTATGTCCTCATCTGTTCTACACATTTTGTCCTCGTCTGTTCTATCTACACATTTTGTCCTTGTCTGTTCTATCTACACATTTTGTCCTCGTCTGTTCTGTCTACACATTATGTCCTCGTCTGTTTTACACATTATGTCCTCGTCTGTTCTATCTACACATTTTGTCCTCGTCTGTTCTACACATTATTTCGTTGGGGGGTGGCGGGTACTCTGGTGTGGTTTGCTTCTTCTTTCCTATCAAAAGTCTATCGTCTTTATCTCCCCTCGTTCTTTTTTGTGTTTGTTACTCTCTTGTAACACCTCAAATCTTCGGCAGTTATATGACCTTATTGTGTTGCAAGCGCTGTAAAACTTTTAGTAAAAAATATTTCGTTTCCTCCCCCAGGCGGAGTCAGAGGCCCAGACATTGAGGGAACAGGTGAAGAAGCTGGAGCAGACCACGAAGAAGGAACAGGACAAGGTCAAGTCACGGGTGAGTGGGGAGGGTGGGGTGCTCAACTACAACAACTACAACAACAACAGCAACAACAACAGCTACAGCAACTGCAGCTATAACAATAACTACAGCAACAATAAAATTTATAACGTCATTACTGCTATTAACACCACCACCAGGAGAGAGAGAGAGAGAGAGAGAGAGAGAGAGAGAGAGAGAGAGAGAGAGAGAGAGAATT